CGTGCTATACGCACTTTCATGAGATCGGGTTAGCCTACAACAATTAATTTGTTGGCTATTTTACAAATGGGAATACAACGAATTCATGACAATGTTTACATTCAAGCTACCCGTAAAATTTATAGTGAAAAGTACTTTAAAAGCGTCTGAAATGCAATAAAGTAATTTTAAAGCTGTTTTTAAAGCATTTGCTGCATGGATAAAAAAATAGGCTAATAAATAATTCACATATCATACAAAATTGCGTTGCAGCAAATCCTTTAAATTTTAAGGTATTCAGAACAGAGCAACATCAAAATCAGAAAATATAAGCAGCTATAGGCTACAGTTATGTATAGGGCCCCATTCCTATATTTTGCCTGGGGCCCCCAATTCACTAAATCCGCCCCTGATTTGAGCAGAACTGTACATTAAAAAGCACCATTCTACACTAGCATCTCCCCCCTAGTCCACTTACACTGATAATCAAGGTTATGTACCAAAACCTTAAGTTTAATTTTACAAGACAATTTTTCTTTCTTCCTCTGACCCTTAGAATCAAACATACTGTTTTTGCTACGTCACCTTTAAGATTTCTATAGTTAAATCACCTCTGTTATGATTGCTGAATACCGAAAAGGTTGTAAACAACTGGGCGGTCATGTTCATTTCCACATGGTTCTGACCTCATAACCATGATGATTATGAATGACCCTTTTTTGCAGCTTATTTTTGAAAATGGTTTGTGTGTACAAGGGAGCTCTAAATTAGTCTTTAGTTAAAAAAAAAAAAAAAAGTGAAAAAAATTTTTGATTATACAATTACAACAATTGTAAGATATAAAGTCACAATTACAAGACATTAAGCTGCATTAGTGAGATATGAAATTACATTGTGAGATTTAAAGTTAAAATTGGGAGAACAGGTTGTAATTGTGAGGAATAATTCATTGCTATTACCGGTAATTACATTTTATTACTCTGAGGCAGAAGTGGATTTAATATTGCAATGATGAATAGACAAAAAAAACTCACAAGGACATTATAAAGGTAAAACACTCTTATTTATGAAATATATCTGGCAAGATGAATATTCAGGATTAAGTTTAAGTGTCAAATTGTGTTTATTATTGGAAGGAAGAAAATTTCACTTGAGGCTTAATTCTACAAAGTTAAAATTCAAACTTTAATATTAATCTAATCTGGTCGCAAAGTTCTATGGTTATAATTAATTTCAAAAGAGGACTTCAAATGTACCAAGAGACCCCATGACCCAAAATACCCACAAGGCATCTTTCCACACTTTTTTATGCATTTGTCAGACAATTTTTCCAAAGCGACTTACATTGCATTGAATGTACACATTTTTATCCGCTCATGCATTCCCTGGGAATTGAACTTATGACCTTGGCATTGCTATCAGCATGCTTTTACTCTTTGAGCTACAGGAATGCATTTTTCTCAATATAGCACCATGTTGCTCTTCTGTCAGACATGGCGACACACAAGCCGGAGAGCAGGCTTAGGGTCACAGCACCCATCCTGCTGGTGGATCCTCTTACAGGGATAAACCCACAGGATAAGTGGCTGATATATAGAGAAGACAGAAGCTCAAATACACGCTAAACCCAAATACAGCAGCACATCAGGTACTTGTATTCAATTAGGAAACCCAGAGAGCTGGACAGTATGAACATTTATTTCTGGAAATTAATTACAAAGTCTTCAAATACCAGTGATCCACCAGAATTTAGTAAACAAGTTCACAATCTGATTTTACTCCTCTCAAGAACAAGATACAGGGCTATGGATTATTATTATAATAGTGGAATAATTGTGTTATTCTGCTAAAGGATAACAAGACGAGGTTCAAATCTACCACTGCGTCTGATTATTACAACTTGACCCTTACAGACCACAGTTTGGCATCTATATGTACATGAAATTAACATGAATTTTGGATGAGAAATGTCACATGAAAGAGACAAAAGCTAAAAAGTTAGTGTTTGAAGAAGTACAAACCAACCAGAACTCTGAAGAACACAAAGCATCACATATGATGTCCATAACAGGAAATGACATGGTGCCAAACACCTTCAAGATCTGGCTTAAAGGGATAGTTTACCCAAAAATAAAGATTCAGACTTACCCTCATGTCATTCAAAATGCTGAACACAAAATATGATGTTTGCATATGTTGTCCATACATTGAAAGTCAATGGGGTCCAAAACAACTTTTGTTTGGACCCCATTGACTGTCATTGCACAGACAAACAAAAACATACGTTTTTAAAATATCTTCACTCAAACCGGCTTGGAACAACATAAGGGTGAGAAATTGATGAATAATGCGTTTACTACCCCTTTAACTACAACTGATTTTAATACATAGTTGACATCTAAACTCATAGAACTGCTCTTAAGTGTTTTACTAGACATTAAACACAAGATGCATATGTGCTTTAGCCCTTTGCTGGTGAAACAAAATGAGAGACACATACAGAGAGAGAAAGTAGTTCATTACATTACACGGATTGGATCAAGGCGAGGCTTTGCCATTTTAATAAATAAGTTAAAAAATAAGCATAAGCACAACTAATAAAGGTTGGAGAAGCAGGAACTATGTGTCCCCTAATCTCTGTTGTCCCCTTTTCTCCCTTTGCTGTCAGCAGTGGAGGACCGGTGTTATTGTAGAGCAGTAATATACGCCCTTATACGAGTGCAATGCTTGTCAACATCATCGTCAAGATTACAATCATTACAGTCATTATCCACTACAACATCACTAGTATCAGCACAAATGCATTCTTAGATTAGTAAATGTGAAAAAAAAAGGGACAGGAATTTTTTGTAACTTTTTTCATGAGTTCCTCTACTTCATTTAGTCTCCTTTTCATTTTTCTAACCGCTCCTAGACACAGCAGACTTGTTGTGGAAATACGCACGGATAAAACATGACTTCTTGTGAAGAGAATGAAGGGATATAGAAGAACGTCACAGAGAGGATAATGTAGCGAAACATGAAGAGTATTATGTGCTCTACAGGATGATTACAGTGCAATGAGTCAGACATATGAGCAAAAAGCTCGTCTGTATTCGTTTTTGCGCCAATGCTCAGACCAAATAACAAATTTCCCTTCTACAATTTAAGCCTAAAAAGGATTTTGCTTCTTAAAGAAGCACTGGCCTACAGTTTAAACGCTTCAACAGTATTAGTATTACTTGTCACACCTGTAAACGTGTCTCCTAAACTGTCCAGAAGTTACAAATACTCAGCTGCAGCGTCTCACGTGTTCCAGAACGTATTCTGGAAAGTGTAAACTACACACTTGCAATCCGTCCAGTTTGCAAGGCATCCTGGGATACTCGTCCTCTTTCCATTTGTTCTCCTCTGGGTCAAATGTGAGGATAGAGTCGCTGTAATGACCGTTGTAGCAAAGTCCTCCAAGCACCATGATCTGTTTGTCCAACACTGCCACTCCGTGTCCGCTGCGTCCTATAGGCATAGAGGCCAAAATAGTCCACTCGTCTGTCTCTGGGTCGTACACTTCCGTCGAAGGGCAGCCCTGGGACTCGAAAGAGGCACGCAGTATCACACACACCCCGCCGAACACGTACAGCTTCCCATTGTGGGAGATCATCTTATGGAAGCAACGAGCATAGTTCATTTTTGACTTGTTCTCCCAGCAGTTGGTGAGGATAGGCGTGCGCCGCATACGGTGTTCGGAAGTTCCTTCCCGTCCCGGGTCAAAAACACACACTTGTTTTGAGGTGGAAGAGGAGGTGATGCCGCCAGTGATATACAACTTCCCGTTGAGCACAGTTCCTTCGTGACCATACTTGTTTACAGGATACGGGTCTACAAACTCCCACTTGTCCTCAACAATGTCATAACGCTCTGTAGAATAGAACGTCTCATCGCGAGTGCGGCCTGCGACGGCATAAATATACTTCCCGATGACGCCGACAGCAAACTCTGATCTGGGAACGGACATGTCGGCCATGCGTAGCCAGGAGTTCTGTCTGGGATCGTAGCGGTAGACCTTCGAAGAAGCATGGAATTCTCCATCCGGGCCTAGTTCTTCACCACCCAACAGGAAAGCAAAGTTGTTGACGATGGCCAGGCAATCGGGGCGGAGTGGCACCTGTGGGCCTTCTAATTCCCACCACACTTTGGGCCGGTGCAGGAGGAGGATCTTGCTATTGACCATGCTGTGGCCAATCATTCCACGAAACACAGCAGTCTGGGGTCTCACAGATCTGATGCGGTTGGACTTGGTTTCCGCCAGCGGTTGTTCATTCACTTGATGGAAGTAGCTGAGCGCCTCGTCTACTTCTAGTCTCAGGTGGCGGGAATAACGGTAGAACTCTGATGTCTTCACCTGTGCAAGGAGGAAGAAACAGATAAAGGTCAGTGACATGACACTTCATAAAAACACTACTGTTCAAATGTTTGGGGTTAGTAAGATGTTTTTTGAAAGAAGTCTCTTATGCTCACGAAAGTTGCATTTGATTGATCAAAAATGCAGTATAAACAGTAATATTGTGACATTATTACAACTTAAAATTAGAGCTGGGTATCGAGTTCGATACTTTTTAGGCACCAACCAAATTGCCTCGAGTATTGAAAAATGTATTGTCGTTTGGTACCAAATTTCGATACCTAAGGGGTTAATCTAATCAAAGTCAGTGAGCCAATAAGCTTGCAGCATGCTTTATGTGCCTAAATCAGTGATTGGCTCTGGCGAGGCATCAAGGAAAACGCATCTGTGTCCATTCTTGCACAGTGTAGCATCATGCTACATAAGACAATTTATACAATTAATACTAAACTTTTACTCAAAACTCACTTTAAACCACCATTGAGTGTTTGTAATAAAACCCTCATTAGATCGCAATCGGAAGTTATCTAATGAGGGTCATATAATGTTGCAGAAATATGTTATTTGTAGCCTTTTATATCAAGCTAATCACTACACCTGCTTAGCATTTCTCATGTAAACACACTGTATTGATATAAAAATAGGCAGAATCTCATGAAAATCACATACAAATCATATACTGTCGTAATCGCTTGTTTATTAGCTTCTTGTTTCATCTCTGTAAATGTTTTTTTTGGAAGTGTAATGCACGTTCGTCTTCAGAAGAGACAAGGCGGGTTATGAACACGTAATATGATTGAAATATGAACAGCGAATAAGCTTCAGCGATCACAGAAGAGAAAACACAGGCAGACAGCGCTGGAAGCAGTTCATGCTCTGCTTAATACTTTGCACTAATTTATTGTGTTGGTTACATTTTGTTCCTTTGTGCAGTGGCTCAGGAGATGAATCTTTGAGTCTGTAAAAACCTCAACAAACTGAAAAAAAATAAGTTTTTCGAGGTAATGTGTAATGTAATCTTGTTAAAATGGATTTCATAAAATTGGTATCGAAAAAAGTATTGTTCAGGAACTGGTATCGAAGTCAAGGTATCGGTATCGAAAATATTTGAACAATACCCAGCCCTACTAAAAATAATTATTTTCTACGCAAATCTTTGAAAACAAATGGAGGAAATTGTTAATAAGCTCTTTTGTGTTTTAGATGATTGCATTTGTAAGTGTATATAATTGTTTACTGACATAATGTACTGGTGAAAGGACTAAAGGTTCATATGTAATACAGTATATGGCTATCTTTGTAATTCCAGTTTATGTGTAATGTATGGCAATACACCTTGAAAAAGACAATTAAAAACATTTTGTAAGGAAAATAGTTTTTACTTTAGTGGTTAGACCACTATTTTTCTTGAAAATAGTATAAATGTTCTCCAAAACCATATGAAATCAACATGAATACAAAGGCTTGGCACACGTTTGAATAAATGATTTCTCCTTTTTTGTTGTGTACTCTCTTATCCATCAATGACACATAAGTAACAAGGATGCACTTTTACCTTCTCAAATATATTGGCAGGAGTCATGAGGCAAAAGCGCAGGTTCTGCACGACCGCATCCGTATGTCTCCAGCGCCGCCGGTCATGTCTCAGCCAGGCCTGCACTGACTCGTACAGCTCTATTTCCGGAAATCGACTTAGCTGGTCACTATCCAGATACGCCTTCAACTTCTCCAAACTCAGATAAGACAGGAAGTCTGGTCGCGCCATCAAGGGCACAAAGTTCTCCAGCAGAAATCCATCAAGCTGCTCCTGCACACCTTCCACGCCAACGCTGAAGTCTTCCAGCAAGCGCATGACCTCAGCACAGTTCTCTAAGCAGATCTTGGCCAGCAGGAAGGAGCAGCAGAACTCTACAGCCTCGGTGAGTTGCACATACATGGCAGCCTGCAGGATCTCCTGCACAGTGAGCATGCTCAACTCCAAAGAACCGTAGTACATGAAGCGAAGGACGTGACCAAACCCAGCTGCCGTCAACCCCTTCATGTGAATCTTATCCTGGTCACGTTCCCGCATATCGGCCGTGAACATGACCCGGAAATAGTCGCTTTGCGTTGCTAACAGAGCCTTGTGCGCCTGGAAGTGGTGCTCCTCGATGAGCAGAGTGACATCGAGCAGCAGTCGCTCCTCATACAAGGCTCTGAAGCCTGACGACACGCTGCCGTCATGCACTTGGGAAAGGTACACCTCCACTTCCCCTGCCATTAGGCACCTGCAGAGACACAAACGCTCTTATAAATGACGTGTAAAGAGGAGTCGATACATCCCATTCAGCTGGTCATCTCTGCAAGGTGTGATGGAGAGACAGATGTTTTACTGCTTTTTTCTCAAGTATTTGATAGAAATAAGACTGATTTGTCCCGTCTCAGAGTTCAATATCAATCAACAGGATGGGAAAAGCCTCTTAAAGGGATAGTTCATCCAAAAATAAAAACTGTTATCATTGAAATACAAAGATACGAAGATATTTAGAAATATTTCTCAGTGTTTTTTAACCATAAAATGAAAGTTTGTGGGGTCCACTGTTGTTTTGGACAACATTAACATTATTTGATAGACAAAAACAGAAAAAAGCAAAACCTAAATGTTTGGAATGACATGAAAATTAGTACAATAAAAATTTCAGTTTGATTTTTTAAAAGAAATTTATATTTGTATTCTGCATAAACACATTAAATTGATCAAAAGTGAAATTTATACATGTTACAAAATATTTCTATTTCAAATAAATGCTGTTCTTTTTGAACTTTCTATTTACAATAGAATCCTGAAAAAAATGGATCTCTGTTTCCACAAAAATATAAAGCAGCACAACTGTTTATAACATTGATAATAATAATAATAGTAATAAATATTGAGCAGCAAATGAGCACATTAGAATGGTTTCTGAATGATTACGTGACACTGAAGACTGGAGTAATTCAGCTTTGACAACAGGAATAAATTACACTTTAAAATATATTCAAATAGAAAACAGTTATTTTCAATTGT